TACTTATCTCATACACAAGAGGAGGTTAGTAGGAGTGAATGTAATTCTTTACTGATACAAATACATGGGATGCAATGTGTATACAAAAAAAGTGCCAAAATTTAAAAGGGATGGATGGTACAATGAAAAGTGACAAATGCATATGATGCATACCACATAATTTAGTTGGAATGGTTCTAAAGAAAGAAAGAGGACTATATACATGTATATAATCAAAGTCATATACAACCTATTGAAGGCTCAAATAGGAAGATATTTAGATCATTAGTTCATAGTACTAATATAGGGTTCTAAACATTGTGAATGTAACAATGAAGCCATATTAAGAGGACCCGAGTCTCATTAGATCTAGATATAGTAATATGACATGATGTGATGCATGGACATAAGGAAGGTAGATAAAAGCAATTAACCATATTGAAGGGCACAAGCGAGTCTACATGAAGACATGATTGCTAGATGGATTGGATCCATATACGATGAGGTAGGAATTGGCTTTGTGCTAGTGGGAGATGTTAGGATGAGCCTTGCAGCCAATTAAGATTGGTTAAGGCTTGATTATAATCATGCAACAATGTCATTCATGTTGAATGACAGAGGTTTTCCTTCATCAATAAAACATTAATTATAATGGGTTATAAGTCTAATTGAATGAAGTCTATGAGATTAATATGCCTTGAAAGAGAATTGTAATAGGTTGCAGTTATGAGATCCCTATGCATCAAAGTGTAATCTTTAAATATTTTTGGTTGATGAATCATTGAGACTAGACATCAATGATGCCTAGAGATTGGTACATTTTATGTTTCTTACTTGGAAAGTAACCAACTGATCTCACACGTTGAAGTTTAGAAATACTTGAAACTAGAATATAGATGCTTGCCTAGGAGAGTAAGTTCACTGAACATGATCCACCATGAGAAGTGCATTTAATATTTCACTTAAGTGCCTATGCAATGCTTTTTATATGTTAGTTATGTAAATACTCTCTAAACTTGAGACACTACTTATCTTATTTATGGAGTGTTATGCTTTTATTTCATCCCTACAAGTGTCTAACCAAGGATGCCCAAATAGGATGCTTTTAGGTATAACATGAAGATTGTGAAGGCAAATGAGTAGTCAAGAAAAGAATCATCACTTCAAGTGATTTAGGAGACATATCCTAACAGTTTTTAGTTAATATTAGCTTATTGAAGTCTTGGTCAAGGTGACTTAGAGATTATGAAAAGAGTTTCATAGGTCTTTACAAAGCTAATAATCTAATTGTAAGAACGAATATAGAGGTCAATAAGAGTAGATACTATATCATGCTCTTATTATCTCTAAGATATATGATGAGAGAATGAATTATACTGATAGATTGTACATTAAAAAGTTATCAAAAAACCTTTTGACTCTCCTAACAATTGAGTGGCCATGATGCATTGCTAGATGCTAATCTTGGTCTATGAAATTGAATTAATTAATTTAATGAAAATTATAATTCAATTCCATTGCTAATATATTAGAAACCTAATAGGTCACACACAATAAGTTGCACTATAAATTGAGTTGGGAGTGTGATGATTTAAGTTAGACTTAAATCATATATTAGGTTTTTAACTTCTAAGGACTTGATTAAAATAGTTTAATTAAGTGTTGGGCCAATAGTATAAGAGATCATAATATTGAGGCCTTATTTGCAATTTAAGAAGTTAATTAACTTGGATATAACTATCATTTTTCAATTACTCCTCATAATAGAAGTGAAACACAGAGCCTAGATTTTTGAGTCGTTAGAAAACTAACAAGAAAGTCTAGCCGCACACTTTTTTGAGTGACTTGAAAAATAGTTTTTTAACTTTGTAATTCGGCTAAGAAGAGTGTGATTGTGTGGAGAGGACACGTTGTTGTCCACCTTGTTAGCACAAAGGTGTAGTTGAGAAAGGTTCCTTCTTGTGAAGGTTCAAGTGCAATTATGTGTGCAACCTTTGGAAGCCAAGCATTTGAATGGTTTAGGTTCTTTACTCCCTTTGTGGCGTTCATAAGTTTGACAAGGAAGAGGTACCATCGTGATAGCCACATCACTTGGTAAAGGTAATGTTATTTTTCTGATCACTTCTCTTCTAGTTTTGTTTTGTATTAAAATCACTAAGGTAATCCATGGGTGGCGGCATGGCATGGTATGTTTAAATTTTTATTTTCTATTACGTATGATAATTGTTATTTCTAAGGTAACGTTTGGTACGAGGAAAGGGAGAGCACATTTCCTGTAATGTGTCCAATTAAATTACATTACAGTGTTTGTTTTGTAATAAACCACTGCAATGTAAGATTGCAATGCAATTACATTACAGCCAAGGGATATAATGTGATTGCAGTCCAAAACCAATGCAATCACATTAAATTGCACTTTGTAATGTTCTTAAAGATAATTTTACTCTTCAATTTTATTACCATATTAAAAATATTTTATTAAGTTATAATTAAAATAAAAAATATTAAAATAAAATATATAATATAAGAATCAAAAATTAAAATAAAATAAAATATAAAAAATTAAAATTTATATAGTATAGGTAAAACAAATTAAAATAAAATATATAATATAAAAATATATATTAAAAAATAAAAAAATATAAAATTATAATAATAAATGAAAATAAAATATATGACATTAAAAATATATTTAAGATATCATATTATATAAAAATTAATAATAAAAAATATAAATAGATTAAAAATATATATAAAAAATTATAATAATAAATGAAAATAAAATATATGATATTAAAAATATATCTAAGAGATGATATTATATAAAAATTAATAATAAAAAATATAAATATATTAAACTTGTATTTTAATAATTAGGGGTAATTTTGAAAATTAACATTACATTCTCAGTAAACCAAACGCTGCAATGTTTTCTTTTCTGCAATTTAATCATTATTTTGCTTGTATACCAAACACTGTAATGTTATTTTTTCTGCAATCACATTGCTTGCAATCATATTACTTGCAATCACATTGGCTGTAATCACATTGCATTGTAAAGTATCAAACGCAACCTAAATTTCATGTCATTTCATACCATTCCAACAGGATTGACAGTGTTCAAGAGTTTTGACTATAATACCAACAAAAGACTTTCGCTGGAAGTTCCAGATTGGAAGAGATACCAGTTCCCGAACCCTTTGAAACCCTGTTATTGACTATAAAACAGACCCAGATGGAAGTGCCACCATCTCTAACAAATGTACAAGTGACAAAGGAACTGTTTCTAGAACAGTCACTAGGAAAAACGATCAAAACTGAATAGATAAATTACACAAGAAGCTGGCAAGGAGGGTAGGCATGCCAAGAAAGGCTTATGAAAAAGCAGACCAGGTAACTTTTATCATATATGGAGCATTTTTTTTAACTCCATACTATTACAATATCTATGATAAAAATATAAGTACACAAAGGAACAAGAATGTCATTTTGTCCAGGGCAACTAATTGCCATATCGTTCTGACCATTTAAACAGTATCTTTTTGGAACTTGATTGCATAGAGAACTTATGGCAGACTATGTGGAGGCTGTTTTTAATCTTTATGTTAGTCTCATTCGGTAAATCAATGGTCCTATAAAACAGGTTAATTGTATAGACAACATATGCAGGACTATATGGAAGATGTGTTTGGAGCTCTGTTTTAAACGCAGGTATTGATGAAAGCTTTTGTACAACACTCTAATATATATACAATGTTTATATACGTGAATGATCAAATGTTGGTCTGTATTGAAGATATATTAAATATTACCGCTTGTTATTTTGATTGTTTGCTCATGACGTGCCAGTTGATTCCTTTACCGTTCTCTTTCCAGGCTCCTGATACAGCTTTATAATTATTTTACTTATTACATGGTTCAATTTCTGAATAGATATTCAAGTTAGTCTATTGTGCTTTATTGTATAAACTTTTGTGAGCAAAGTCCTTGGTATGTAATGTTCATTCCGTAGTGTAAACACTATCATTGTCTACAGAGGTATTCATGATGATACATGCAAACAACATCTATTATCCTGTCTTTCATTTGTTTATTACTAGACAGCTAAAATAATACTGTCTCAAAACAGTAGCATTATATAATCAATTTTCCATTTATTTGGCTATTTCCATTTATCGATATTATTCTACCATTTATAAATATAATAATATATTTACAAATAAATCTCACAATCTTCTTTTTATTATTTAAATAATTTTCATCAATTAAATAACCCGTAACAACGCATGGGGCTTGTACTTAGTATATATAAAAGTAAACCAAGATATACATTACCTCATTTTCATTAAGGTTGGAAGATGGATTTACGGTACTAGAATTCTTTGAATTGATCAACAAACAAAAATTTGCTGCAAAATAATTGTACCATCAGCTGATAAATTCCCGACAAAAACAAGAATATAAAGAACAGAGGGTCATGTGTGTGTGCATTCTGGAACTTTCTTAATCCCTCTTTCTCTGAAAAACAAAAAAGAAAATTTTAAACTTGAATTGATTTTTTGTACTTCCAATTTCCATTGATCATGAATAATTTTTATTATAAGAAGGAAAAAATCTTGAATTAAAATAAAAATTCAATAACGAAATTATAAAATTTCTAATAAGTAAAGGTGAGTTACAAAAATTTAAAAGTTATTAGAAAAGAGAAATTATAAAATTTTTTAAAAATACAAATATATTATAAAAACTTAAAAATTATTTGTCCCCCCCTCCCGTCCGCCTCGGTCAGTACAAGAAAGGGTATCTCTAGGGAATGTAGTAAAGTGTAGAAGGAGAGCTATGCATGGTCCTTTTTGTTTTTGTTGATTCTTGGTAGCATGCCTTGTGTTGGGACTGGCATGTTAGGGCGGTGTGTGTACAGAGGAGGTGCTGTGCAATTTTTCTGCTGACATCAACATGGTTGGCTACAGTTCTTTTGAGGAGTGTAGTCAGAACATTGTACATGGTTACAAAGCCTAAAACTTACGTAGTACTTTTTGTACTATGTGACCTGAGCTGAATTTTCATTACTGAAAAGGAAATATATTTCTTTAGAAATTGAGATGGAGAAGGATCTGTTCGTATCGTAGTCTATGGACATAAATTGCTTCTCTTATATATTTCTTATAACAGAAAAGGAAATATAAAGGATCAACAAAACCAATGCAGAAGCTAAATGTGAAAAGCTTGTCTATGATTTCATCCATTCAATGAAGTTCTTGAAAATCCTGTTCGAGCTACCACCTTCATTGGCACTACGTGTAACCAATTCCTTTAGTTTAAGAGTTCTTGCTCTGAAGCTTTCATCACCTAGCAACAGCTCCACCTTGCTCCTAATTTCTTCTCTTGTAATGATCTCTCTTTCATCTCTTGTAAAATTTACGCCAATCTTCCAAATGTCACAAATGTAGCTCTCATTAACAAACTGGTCAGCAAAGTATGGCCAACACAGAAAAGGGACCCCATTGCTCACGCCTTCAACGGTGGAGTTCCAACCGCAATGGCTTAAGAAGCAAGCAACGGAAGGATGAGCCAGAACCGCACGTTGGGGTGCCCAGCCCACTATCCTTCCTCGGTTGGCTACTCTTTCCTTAAATCCTTTGGGGTAAAGATCATCAGATTCAGTCCCCTCGGCAACATCTGGTCTGACAACCCAGAGAAATGGCCTGTTTGAGAGTTCCAGGCCCAGAGCCAATTCTTGGAATTGGATTGGATCAAAAACCGTGAAGCTGCCAAATGCCACATAAATAACTGAACCTGGTGGCAGTTGATCAAGCCATTTCAAGCAAGTTGCATCCTCTGGCCAGAAACTTCCTCCCAAGGCTCCAAGCTGGTTGGTTGATGAAACTGGTCCTATGGGCAGGATCTCTGGAACTAAGATAAGTGCTTCAGGCTCCAGGTCATAAGTTGTGTTGCAAATTAGCCACTCTGCTTTTGCAATGGCATTAATGTTTCTCTCAGCATATTTAAAAATAATTTTTTGTGTGTTGAAGTCACCGAGACAGACCCACAGAAAATTCTTTGGGTGCATGGCAGGTGTGTTTGGGGACAACTGAATCATCTTTTCTTTATTGATTGGAGTACCTGCAAACCAAATTTCAACAACTGTTAAACAACATCAGGGCATATTTTAATGTTCCCTCTTTCTTGTTCCTGCTTACGATTCAGGCTCAAATTAATAAAAGTAGTAATATTTGTCCTCCAAGTTTGAGGCAAAATTGTAATCATGAAGTTCTGATAGTAATAATTATTTGCTGTTATTTAGACATGCTGCGGTTGGAGTCAATACCATGTTCATCAATAACTTCATCATCAATCAACTTCTTGGTGCTAAAAAGCAAGTTCAATACAAGGGCAGATGCAGGGCAGAAAGCAGCTCCGGGGATTCCCATCTCTGCTGCAACTTCAAGTGCCCATCCCATGTTGACATCAGCTATAACATGAGTGATCTTATTCTCTTCTAATCTATCAATCTTCAGTATGAGCTCCTTCAGCTCCCCGGGCATGACTTGGCTAAGTCCATCAGTTAACTTCCCTAAAAGACTCCTGTTCTCGCCAACTTCCATCCCGTCCGGGATTGAAACTAGATGAATTGGCCCTTCTGGATCAACCTTGTTGGCAAACGCATCCATGACTCTCTGGTGATTAAAATCTGAGTTGACAAATGTGATTTTGAAGCCATGTTTGGCCAAGCTGTGAGACAGCTCCATAAGAGGAATGACATGGCCTTGTGCTGGATAAGGTATTGCCAGAATATGTGGATTTCCCATTTACACTCTATAATTCTCTCTATCTATTTTACAGAATTTAGCTTATGTTCGTTTTATAGAGAGATTTTCGTGATCCCCAAGGATCCCTTGTGCAATGTTAGTTCCTGTCTCCGTGTGCTGGATATTCTCTAGGTTTGGGGAAACAAGATTCTTGTTTACAATCGAACATATTAGTGATTGTCCTTTAATTTTCAGTTGTTGTTAAGATTTGGTGCTTCTGCCTGGTATTTACCGCCCACTATTTTGGCTGAACTAGCTAGGTGAAAACTTAGTGCTATTTCTAGTCTTCTCAATATTATTTTATAAGCTTAGCTCTTGGGACTTACTGTGAATTTTCTGGAATTTTATAAACGCTAAGGACATCATAATCTTATTTTTATTTCAGATGTGAAACTTTTGTAAATGGTTAGCAGGCAATGGGACAAAGATAATTATTATATAAATGAAAAATCTTAAGAGTTCAAGATGAGACAATTGGCATAGTTTGGCGAAAGAATTGATGTATAAACAGGCAACCCTTTGCAACCGGATGCCTTGGCTTTGGGATTGATGTGATCCATGGTGACAGTAATCCATATTTAAGTCACTAGTCACAAGAAAGTAAAATGAAGATTAAGATACACAGCCTCTTGGGTTTTTATCTTCCTATATTGGAGATACATCCATGAGAATATATAGGTTAGAGAATTTAAGGATTATTTTTGCATAATTGTGTGCAACTTTGGACACATTTTTTTAAAAAAAGGATGGTTAAGTATAACACAGAATCGATAATGTCATGATCATATTCTTCTATCTGTCATGGTTGTGCTAATTAGAGCACAAGAAAGGATTATAGTCAATTTAGATGGATGCTTGCAGGTTAAAACTAACATCATATGATGCCACTGAGTTTCCTAACATATTATAATAATAAAACACACTATACTCTCTTTTCACACTCTATTATTATAATAAGATATTTGTTTGAATATCTCAGCACACTGATCAATGTTAAAGGCTTGAAATTAACTTGTTGAGTTTCTCATTTTAAGACCACAGGATTTGTTAATATTATTCTTGTGCTAAGCCAAAAGGGTATTTTATTCCATGAGATATATAATTTCTTTGAAACCAGCAAAAGCTAATTGCCATGTAAGAACAGAGAAAACACCAAAGTTGCCATGGCAACCTAAAATCTAAGAACACATGCAACTGCAAAAACTTACCCCATAGGAGAAACTCTTCGGCTCTCTAGCCAACATATCTCTAAATTTTTGCACAACTAATTTTTCATCACAATTTTCAGTAGGACCGAATTCCATGTTTCGACTACCCCTTCCATAATAGCTTTGTTTTTGTTTTAAAAATCACCATCCGAAAGTGAGTCATTTCAAGATTCTTCACTATCTTCTTCCCATGTTTCTTTTCCCTTCTTGGCAATTTGATTCACCAAATGCCTCCTTAATACATTCTATTAAAACTCTTTTTTAATCTCCATACCAAGATAAAGGTGGATAACTAATTTGAAACGGGTGATTATATTATAAAATGTTGGGTAAACTTCAATAACATCACTTGTGGTTTGATGATTTCCCACCAAACACCTTATGCTTTTTCTCCCACTTAACATTCTGATGTTTTATTCTATTCCCACATAAGAGTACTAGGGGTGTGCAAACGGTTAGTTTAATGAAATTTCTTCTAAAAATCCTAAAACCAAAAAACCTAAACTCCTCTTAAAAAATGGAAACCAAACCGACGTAGTTTTAGTAATCAAAAAACCAAACACCGAACTACTTGGATTAGTTCAATTCAATTACTGAAAACCAAACTCGTGAAGATAAAGGGAAATAAATGTGAGGATATAACATTTTTTTACAATATCTCATATTGAGATTTTTTTGGTTTTTAAATTGTGAAGATTTTCTTTTATTTGGTTTTTTAATTGAATAATAAAGAATGAAGAATTTTGTTTTGTTTTTTTGAATTAAACATCACTTATCTTTTTTAAATATTATTCACTTCAATTAATTCGATTAGTTTGATTGAAAAAATTTCAAACTGAAAATTGAATCAATTAAATCATTCTAATTGAACTTAATTATCTTAATAAACCAAATATTGAACTAATCAAATAAAAAAAACTAAACTAAATTTGATTCGATTCGATTCTTCAGTTGAGTTTGAATTTGCAAACCATTAGGATTACAGCATTAGAATTTCTCGAGTTCCATCACATGCTCAAATTAATTAACTTGAAATTCCAATTATACCCTATATTTCTTATTGACAATTTTCAATTGTTTTTTTCTCTTTCTTCGCCTATGTTTCCTTCTCTTTCTTTTCGCAGAACATAACCTTCTCCATCAACTAGCCTCATCTCTCCCCTTTCCGCTCCATTTTTCTTCTAATGATGTGCCATTCTTTCTACTCCACCTCTTCCTTTCCTCCACTACTTGAATTTTCTCTCTACTAAACCTTTCTCTTTCCATCTCTATTTTTCTCAAACTCTTTTGGTCTGCAATTCTCTTTCTCCCTCCACCCCTTGATATGTGCATCAAATACATATATTTAACAGGAGATTAAATACCTAATTAGTATAAATTAGACTAGATTTAGGATTGGATTTAGATGTTTTTAGTTATTTTATTAGTTTAGTTTAATTTATTTTTAAATATTTATTTTATTAATGTTAGTTTTATATTATTTTTATCTTTTCGTAAGAGTAGGATCAAAAATAATTTCAAATGGTGAAAAATGCGCATAATAGACTGTTGCTTTGTTTGCATATGTTTTGGTTTTTCAAAGCATATCTCTTACTACAAAATGCTAAATGACATCATTTTTTGACCATTAAAAACCTAAGAGGTAGGACTACAACTTTGATATTTACCACTTTCCTCAAGTTGGATCGGAAGGTAGTCAAATCTTTGTCGAAGTAAAAGTATTGCACTAGAAAAGCAAAATTGAGACAGAACCTTTGAGAGCCACAACTCTAGAAAATCAGAGCTGTGGCACTTGACGTATTTTCCAAACATAACAAGCTTATGAGATTTTGGTAGTTAGGGCTTTTGAAGGTTATTTAAAGGGCCTTTTTTAGAGATTTTTGAAAAAAGACGGCAAGCAATTTCTCTAGAGAAGAAGAGCAAAAAAAAAAAAGCAAGAAAGCAAGAGAATTGGAAGGAGAATCAAACTCACAACACTCCAACTATTAGATTTCTCTCTCTCTATTTTTTTTATTTTTATTATTTTTTTGACTTGGATTAAGGGCTAATTTTCTTTGGATGAAGTTTTTATTAGATATTATGAACTAAATTATTTTTCTAGGATTGCAACCAAATTCTCATTGATAACTCTATTATATAGAGTTATTTTGACTCATTTTGGGAGCTTAAGTAGCTAGATCTTTGAGATTTTATGTTCGAATTTTAGCATTATAGGTGTTTTTTTTAGTTTAAGTTTGATTATTTGTTAAGTGATTAATTTAAGTTATTTTAGTTAAATTTTAGTTATTTTATTTTAAATTACTTTAAGAGTAGTTATTGCTAATTTCTCCTATGGCTTTTGTAGAAATTGATGAAAAAGACTCATTTATGAAAATCAGTGCAGATATGGTGATAGCTTCATTCGTATATGTTTCAATATTTTGACCATATCTCTTTCTAAAAAACTCCAAATGAGGTGATTCTTTGACCAATCAAATTATAAGAAGAAGGGAAACAATTTTTATGTTCACCAATTGGCCCAGTTATGATTGGATCATGGTCAAAATATTTGTCAATTCGGACCACTGCAGCAGGATGTAAAGACTGAACATGATGCAGATTTTGGAGCAAATCTTTCAATCCAGAAATCCAATTGATGTGATTTTTAATCCATTGGAAAGTTAAGAGACAGGGATAAAACTTTTATGTTTACTACTTTGCCAGTTCTTAACATATCAGGGTGGAACTCATGTTTGAAGTTGATAGACTGCCAAGCGCTGGGAGAACAAGGCTGCAGCGTTGATGAAAGGAAGCACACATACAAAATTCCAGAGAGTCAGCGCTGCAGCGCTGGAGAAGTAGCGCCGCAGCGCTGCGCGACTTCCCTAAAAAAATAAAGGACATTAACAGAATTTCGCAAAATTAGGTTATTTGGAGCCTATTTAAGGAGACTTTTTCAGAGATTTTTGAGGCAGCAAGAGAGGCAGCAAGAGAGGCAGCAAAGGAGGCAGCAAGAACTATTAGAGATTTGGAGCCAAGAACAAACAAGGAAACAAGAGAATTGGAGAGAGAATCAAGATCATACATCTCTAACTATTAGTTTCTCTCTCTTACCTTTGTGTTTTTTTTCTTATTTTCTTTGACTTGGATTCATGGCTAAATTTCTTTGGATATTGTCTTTATTAGATATTATGAACTAATTTATTTTTCTAGGATTGCAATTGAACTCACATGTAATCTAGATTTTTAATCACTTTCTTGCTTATTTTCAATGGGATTTGAATTGTTTATTTCAATTTGTTCTTAATGCTTTTAATTGCATGGCCACCAATTAAATTGATCTAGAAACCTAAACAAACTTGGGAAAGGGAGGTTAGTGTAGACTAAAATTGGGATAGCATATGATCATATTAATTGATTTGCGTATAGGATAGGGATATACCTATAGGCATATGTAGCCAAAATAGAGCCTGAACTTAATGAGTTTGTTTTAATTTCAATTCACATAGGGATATAGTGTTTTGTTAAAATAGATATTTTTATAAGATGAGTTGGGAGACCCTTATAAATAATTTAGGACTCTAGGTTAGCAATTCAAACCATTGAGATAAGTTAAGGAAGAGAGGTAAGATTTAGATAAGTGTGAGGGATATTGTAATCCTAGGCTTGTTTGATTTGATATTTATTTGAGTATTTATTATTTTGATTTTTCTTAATTTAATTCTGCTATAACTTAGTTTGATTTGATATTATTTGATATTGTTTGGATAAGATTAATTTGCAATAATTTTAGTACTTGTAAACTTTTAGATCAATTCCCTGCGGGATCGATACTCTACTTGCTAATATCTATCTATTCGATACGTATACTTGCGTGGTAGAATTTTAACTGACACTCATGTAATATGAACTTTTAATCTCTTTCTTGCTTATTTTCAATGAAATTGAATTGTTTATTCCAATTTGTTTTTAATGCTTGTAATTACTTAGCTACCAATTAAGTTGATTTAGGAATTTAAACAAACTTAGGATAGGGAGTTTAGTGTA